AACTGGAATTTACAAAACCAAAACGACGTCGTTTTGATCAGGTTGAATAATAAAAAAATACAAAAAATTAGTGAAACGGTACCGTTTTACTTAACCACGTGACATGCGGTTTTCTCCCAACAGCAGAGGATCTGCTCCCCCTTCTCTTCTCTCTCTCTGTTTTCAAAACAGTCACTAAGGTCCTCTGTTTCTCATATGCTCTCGCCGGTACTGCGTGCCGATTGCCGAATCCCCTCCCCCCCCCTGGGGGTGTTAGGTCTGACAATGTCAAAGTTGTTAGAGTTGTTGTTTACTTCAGCTAATAAAGCTCCTGTTTACTAGGAGTCACTAGTTAGAATATGTTTTGAATTAGTCTGTAACAAACATCACGATTTGTACGTGATTGTTTCTGTTGCTTTCAGTATCTCATCATGTAAAGGCTATATAAAGCCTGAAGTTGTTTAATAAAGACATATAAAGTATTTCCAGAACTTTGTATGTGATCAAGAGTCTTTCATATTCTGGTATCAAAGCTTGGTTAGAGGCCTGATTGTGAACAAGTTTCAAGTGAGTGAAACACGAGAGATTGGGAGTGAAACACTGCGAGTGTAGGAGAGTGTGACGATGGCTGAGGGTAACAGTTTTTCACAAGCGTGCATCCCCAAGTTTGATGGGGATTATGATCATTGGAGTTTGATCATGGAAAATCTCCTTAGATCAAAGGAGTATTGGAGTGTCGTCCAGGGAGGCTATACAGAACCAGAACCACCCGGTGAAGAAGCATTGACACCAGCTCAGAGGAAGACTCTAGAAGAAGCAAGGCTGAAGGATTTGAAGGCCAAGAATTATCTCTTCAATTCCATTGACAAGGCCATCTTGAAGACAATTACTCAGAAGGCGACGGCCAAACAGTTGTGGGACTCAATGAAGGTTAAGTATCAAGGAAATGCACGGGTGCAGCGTGCTCAACTTCAAACTCTTCGCAGAGATTTTGAGCTACTGGAGATGAGATCGGGAGAGACGGTCAATGATTATTTCGGGAGAGTGATGGTGGTAGCCAATGACATGAGAAACTGTGGTGAAGACATGCCGGATGTCAAGATCGTTGAGAAGATTCTCCGTACTCTTACCGAGAATTTCAATTACATTGTGTGCTCGATTGAAGAGTCGAAAGACATTGATAGTCTTTCAGTTGATGCCTTACAAAGCTCGTTGCTGGTCCATGAGCAGAAGTTTCGAAAGAGTGGTGGAGATGAGCAAGCACTGAAGGTCAGTTATGATGAAAGAGGAAGCAGAGGCAGAGGAGCTTCGACTAGAGGCCGAGGGAGAGGCAGAGGGAGGCAATTTGACAAGGCCACTGTGGAATGTTATAAATGTCATCAACTAGGGCATTTTCAATACGAATGTCCTAGTTGGAACAAGAAAGCCAACTATGCTGAGATTGATGAGGAAGAAGAGATGCTTCTGATGGCTTTTGTGGAAACTAACAATGCAAAAAGGGAAGAGGTGTGGTTCTTAGATTCTGGATGCAGCAACCACATGTGTGGGAAGAGACAGTGCTTCTCGGGTTTTGATGGTACATACAGACATTCGGTGAAGCTGGGCAACAATACAAGAATGGAAGTGATGGGGAAAGGAAATATACGGCTGAAACTCGAGGGCGCAACTCAGGTGATTACAGACGTTTATTATGTGCCGGATTTGAAAAATAATTTGCTCAGTATAGGCCAACTTCAAGAACGGGGATTAGCTATTCTTATAAAGCATGGAGTATGCAAGCTTTATCATCCAAGAAGGGGTTTGATTATGCAGACATGGATGACTGCGAATAGGATGTTTGTGTTGTTGGCTAGTATGGTACCAGAAAGTTCTACTTGCTTACAAACAATGACAAAAGATGAATCGCAGTTATGCCATCGGAGATATGGACATCTGAGCTATAAGGGGCTGCGGACGTTAAGATACAGAGAAATGGTAAAAGGCATTCCACCATTAAAAGCTACAACTAAGTCATGTACCGATTGCTTGGTAGGCAAGCAACACAGAGAGGCGATTCAAAAAAGGAGTCAGTGGCGTGCTTCCAAGAAATTGCAGCTCGTACATGCTGATATCTGCGGCCCAATCACACCATCTTCTAACAGTGATAAAAGGTACATTTTAACATTCATTGACGATTATAGTAGAAAGGTGTGGATATATTTTCTGATCGAAAAGTCTGAGGCATTCACAACTTTCAAACATTATAAGAGTCTTGTCGAAAAGGAGTCTGGAGTACCTATATGTTCTTTACGCACTGACAGAGGTGGAGAATTCACCTCCACAGAGTTTAATACTTTCTGTAAAGATAATGGTATAAGCAGGCAACTCACAGCAGCTTACACTCCACAACAGAATGGGGTAGCCGAACGCAAGAACCGAACTATCATGAATATGGTTCGGTGTATGTTGTCTGACTTGGAGGTACCAAAGAGATTCTGGCCAGAAGCTGCGAGATGGACAACACATGTTCTCAATAGAAGTCCGACGTCGGTAGTGAAAGAGAAAACACCGGAGGAGATGTGGAGTGGAATTAAACCTAAAGTGTGAATTACTTTAGGGTTTTTGGATGCTTAGCCCATGTTCACATGCCAGACCAGAAAAGAAAGAAGTTAGATGATAAAAGCTTTCCTTGTGTGTTACTGGGAGTAAGTGACGAGTCGAAAGCATATCGGTTGTTTGATCCAGCAACCAAGAAGATAGTGACAAGTCGAGATGTGAGTTTTGAAGAAGATAAGGGCTGGAATTGGGGAAGAACAGCAGAAGAAGTGAAACAAGATGTATTGGTTTGGGAAGGTTGTGATGAAGATAAAGCTGAAGAGTCCGAGGATGAAGACCAAGAAGCTACTGTACCAGTGGTCAGTCAAGAGGCACCAAGTGAAGTTCCTCCGGCAGCAAATAGATCAAGGAGAGCTCCTCCATACTTGCAAGATTATGTATCAGGAGAAGGCCTTTCAGAAGGGGAAGATGAGTCAAACAATCTTGTAATGTTTGCTTCCTACGAAGATCCTTGTTCCTTTGAAGAAGCAGTAGTAGAAGAAAAATGGAGAAAGGCTATGGACTGTGAGATGGAGTCCATTGAGAAAAATGAGACCTGGCAGCTTACACCACTACCAACCGGAGCAAAGAAAATTGGTGTAAAGTGGGTTTTCAAGACCAAATTGAACGAGAATGGTGAAGTAGACAAGTACAAGGCCCGATTGGTAGCTAAAGGTTATGCTCAACAGCATGGGATCGATTACAATGAGGTCTTTGCTCCAGTAGCAAGATGGGATACAATTCGGACGGTTCTAGCACTAGCAGCACAAAAAGGTTGGAGTGTGTACCAACTTGATGTTAAAAGTGCGTTTCTTCACGGTGATCTGGATGAGGATGTGTATGTGGAGCAGCCGTTGGGATATGTTCGTAAGGGTGAAGAACAGAAGGTTTACAAGCTTCGGAAGGCACTTTATGGCTTGAAGCAAGCACCGCGCGCTTGGTACAGTAAAATTGAGGCTTATTTTCTCAAAGAAGGCTTTACACGGTGCAATTATGAGCATACTCTCTTTGTCAAGTCCGAAGAAGGAGGTAAGAGACTATTAATTATAAGTCTGTATGTTGATGACTTGATCTTTACTGGTAATGATGCTTGCATGTTTGAGAAGTTTAAGAGCTCCATGAAAGATGAGTTTGAGATGACAGATTTAGGGAAGATGAAATACTTCCTTGGTGTTGAGATTATGCAGAAACCAGAAGGCATCTATTTGAGTCAGAAGAGATATGCAGGTGAGTTGTTGGAGAGGTTTCACTTACAGAATGGAAATTCAGTCAAGAATCCGATTGTACCAGGTTCTAGATTCTCAAAGGAAGGAGGAGGAGCTAAGGTGGATGCAACCTTGTACAAACAATTAATCGGGAGTCTCATGTATATTACTGCTACAAGGCCAGATTTGATGTATGTGGCATGTTTGTTAAGTAGATATATGGCTAGTCCCACAGAGATGCATATGCAAGCAGCAAAGAGGGTGCTACGTTATTTGAAGGGTACTGTGTCTTTAGGTTTGTTTTACAAGAGAGGTGATGTAACAGAGCTAGCTGCCTATACAGATAGTGATTATGCCGGGGACATCGATGATAGAAGGAGTACGAGTGGTTATGTGTTTCTGTTGAATGGTGGGGCAGTTTCTTGGGCTTCGAAGAAGCAGCCGGTGGTGAAGCTGTCAACTACTAAGGCTGAATTTGTTGCAGCAGCAGCTTGTGCCTGTCAATGTGTCTGGATGCGAAGAATTCTGGAGCAGCTTGGTTGTTTACAGTTACAGCCTACAACTATTCTATGTGATAATTCTTCAACAATTAAACTATCCAAGAATCCAGTTCTACATGGCAGGAGTAAGCATATTGATGTTAGATTCCATTTCTTAAGGGATCTTACAAAGGAGGAAGTTGTAAGGTTTATTCATTGTGGCACAAAGGAGCAAGTAGCTGATATAATGACCAAGCCTCTGAAGCTTGATGTGTTTATAAAGCTGCGAGAAGAGCTTGGAGTGTGTGAGGTACCACTGATCTTAAACTGAAACTGAATGTTACTGTGTTCAGTTTAGGGGAGGCATTGTTAGGTCTGACAATGTCAAAGTTGTTAGAGTTGTTGTTTACTTCAGCTAATAAAGCTCCTGTTTACTAGGAGTCACTAGTTAGAATCTGTTTTGAATTAGTCTGTAACAAACATCACGATTTGTACGTGATTGTTTCTGTTGTTTCCAGTATCTCACCATGTAAAGGCTATATAAAACCTGAAGTTGTTTAATAAAGACATATAAAGTATTTCCAGAACTTTGTATGTGATCAAGAGTCTTTCAGGGGGGCCCCAATTTCTCTTTCTCTCTCTCTCTCTCACACACACTAAGTTGCAGTGACCGATATATATAGAGGGAGAATTGAGGAGTGATTTATATACAAGCAGATTGATATGTCGGAGTAAGAGAAGTTGTTGAAGGGAGTATCGGTTGATGCACAAAAACTGGAAGGTACGGAACGGCGCCAATATCGACCTTGCCGCCGTTTGCGATTCCATCACCGATCCTAAGGACAATCACCTCCGTGATTTCGAAATGTTTTGATTAGGGATTTTCATTTCAATTTCTAGCCACTCGGGTCTGATATAGTTGTTTTTTTTTATCACTATTTAGGTGATGTATGTATACTGCAGTATAATGTATGGTTGGAGAGTATATAGACAGTCCTCAGTTTTTAATTTTTTGAATTTTGAAATTTAGGTTCCAATTAGGGCACTTTTTTAAGAAGACTGTTGCGGATTCGAATGCTCCAGTGCAAGAGAAAGCTTTAGATGCTTTAATTGCGTACTTAAAAGCTGTCGATGCTGATGCTGGAAGGTAACTAAATTTTTGAAAATTTGCATAGTTTTTATGGTTATTTGTTATTCATGTTGTTGTACTGTGCATTTGTGATTCAATTTCGAATTTGGGGTTCATTTTTGGGCAGGTATGCGAAAGAAGTATGTGATGCGACTGTGGCAAAATGCCTGACGGGTCGGCCCAAGGCAGTGGAGAAGGCGCAGGCAGTGTTTATGCTCTGGGTAGAGTTGGAGGCTGTTGAGGTATTCCTGGTATGTGTTAATTTTCATAATTTAGTGTGTTTTTCAACACTGCAATTTTTGGATCAAAAAAAAAAAACACTGCAATTCAGTATGAGAACAATTTGATTGTGTATTCCGTGAATGTAGTTTGTTTTACTTTCTGGTGTACTGAATTGTGCTAAAACATGTTGGGGAACTTAAGGGGTTGTTTGGTAACGTTTTCGTTTTCGTTTTCGACAATTTTTGTCTCTGTTTTGTAATAAACACTGAAACAAAAAAACATGTTTGGGAGTCATTTTTGTCTATCAAATTATGAGAATAAAAACAAAAAATATGTTTGGTAACTACTTCACATTTTATCCTAAATATACTTTATAATATCTCATACAACAAACCTTCACCCTACTCGAAACTCCCCCAACAAATCAATCATCCACTACTAAAAACCCACCCCCCGCAACTCCTCCACCCCAACAAAATACAAATCAAACATCCACTACTACAAAAAAATTGTAAACAAATCAATTATCAGTTGTAAGCCTTGTTGGATTGTCCATAGTTCCGCTTTATGGCTCCTTTCATATTGTCTATTCTCCATCTCCACCCACTAACAATCATCTCCATCTCTAACCATCTAACTCCACCATTTACACCTCCATGAGCCCCCTAATCCCTGATTTGTTAAAACCCTACAACATAATATCAATATATATGCAATAATTAAGATGAGATACTGCTCTGAATCAATCAAAATCAACTTCAACACCAACCAAATAAAACCAATTTTCTAGTTTATGGCCAAATACCAAACCACTCGATTACACTTACATCATCTGATGAAAAAGAAGCATTTCTACCTAGTTTGGACTGTTTAGCCAATCCATCCACCTTAACTGAATATATCCCATTATTATATAACCATGCCAACCAATATCCCAAAACTCAAGAAACCAGACATATTTCTTCAAACCCATTAACATCATCACACAAAGCAAATATTATTCAACATCATCAAGCTTTCGTTTCAGATCCCTGACTAAAAGAGATAACTTAAAGTTTTGTTCTAGATCACTATCGAAATCAATGGCCTCCAAAAAGCGTCAAAACAGACAAAATGAGGAGTGTATAAATGGATCTTAAACCTTCACCCTACCTGCAACTCCTCCACCCCAACAAAATACAAATCAAACATCCACTACTACAAACCCACCCCCTACAACTCCTCCACCCCACCCGAAACTCCCCCAATAAAATCAATACAAATTTTATTTTGGTTGTTGTTCAAGAAATTTAACAATCAAATAATCACAGATGGTTTGAGAAATCAAAATCGCAAAAGGTAGCAAATTAACACAATGATTTATTTTGTTGTTGATTCTAGGAATGCATTTGGGTTTAATTTGGAGGGTTTGATTCTGGGTTTTCACAGATCACTCACACACACACACACACACACAGATTTTATGGGTTTTCACAGATCACTCACACACAAATTTTTTGGGTTTTAACAGAGAACGAGAGCAAGACAAAGAGAGATAGATCGTCTGAGGTAACTATCTGAATTATCGATCTGAGTTCTTTGTGGTTTGTTGTTTGAGTTCTTCATCTGAGTTCGACAGAGAGAGATCATCTAAGTTCTTCGTCGTTTTGTGAGAGCGAGACAAAGAGAGAACGACGGATCGATCTTCGTCTGAGGTATCAATCTTCGTCATTTGTGAGTTCTTCGTCGTCTAAGGTATCGATAATTCGTCTGAGAGAGAGAGAGAAGATAATAGAGTGAAGAAAAAAGAAAAAAAAAATCCTTCAAAGGGTATTTATAGTAAACACAAAAAAAACCCTCTTTGGTTGCTAATGGGATTTGAATAGAAAATCCAAAACATGTTTCCTAGAACATCTTTTTTTTTTGTTCCCATTTTTTGTCTTTGTCTCCAATACACTAAATACAAAACAAAAACAAAAACAGTTACCAACATATTTTTGTTTTCATTTTTGACAAAAAATGAAAACAAAAACAAAACACAGGACAAAAACAGTTACCAACATGCCCTTACACTTGCTTCTCCAGTTTTAATTTAGGTGTTTGGATGACATGACTGAGGAAGTTTGGTGCTCAGAATTTTCCTTGCTTTCTATAGTACCATGATAGTGATCATGTAATGTGTGGTATTTTGGGGCTTGCCATGGTAGTACATAATGTGATACTGCAAGTTCTCCTGTACTGACTACTGAAGGAGCTATCATGACCATTGTCCCTTTGGAATTGCTAGTATAAATATAACAATACCATTAAAACAGTATTTCTTGGAAAAAGATTCATGCTTTAGCCAAATGAACAAATGAAATGACATTTGTAATAAAATTAGTGAGAAGATTATCCCTGATATTAGAATTTCATTCTGGTTTCTTATTCCTGTCTGGGCCTAATCAATCACAGAAGAAATGACAATCTCCTTGCTGTGGGATAGAGATTGGGCTTTTGATTTAATAATGAACTTTACATGGCGTATACTTTTGAATGATATCGTTTGTGCAATTTGCATGATGTTGGATGCTTGGTTATATCCTAAAAAGAGTCTTCTTAGTTGAACGTTTAAATACTAAACTATATTGACATTTGACACCTTTTACTTGTTCTCAGTCTAAAACATGTGGCTAGGACTCACTGCAGAGGTGGTTAGAATTGTAGTTGTCCACATACCAGTTGTTCATTATTCTATCTGTCTAATCACATATGATGAATCTGTCTTTCCATTGTTGATATTATTCTATTACTTGTTCTGTTGTGCATCACCTGCTGCTCTCTCTCTCTCTCTCTCTCTCTCTCTCTCTCTGCATCTTAGCTGCTTCCAACCAGTTTCATTTAACTACCCATTTTGGGATATATGCTAACATGTTGATAGCTCTGATCAGTTAAGGATGTTTGATTTAACGGCATGTTTAATGATGTAAGTTGCTTCATGTGCATAGTGTTTACACTTATTCTTGCCCATGCTCCTTTTTGTTTTTCATGGAAGCTAAGTTCTGTGAGGAAGTTTGTAGTTTATACATTGATATAGTCTCTTGTGATCTACAAGATTACATCTTGTGATTTCATGAGTTGCAAGCAGTGTACAGACAATCCATGTTCCAACTTGTTGTGCTTTTTGATGCCCAGGTCTGATGTGGCAGAGCAAAGTGGTGATATTTCACGATCTATAGCTGGCCCATCATTAGGTACAGAATGATTTCTTCTTCTATACTTAATCATCAAATTTTGTTCATGTAGTCCTCTTTTCATTGTTGAATCAAGTAAATTATACCTGATACAAATGTATGTAGATGCCAATAATGTTTTCTTCTTAGGGAGAATTATGGTCATTCTGAGCGTCAGATGGATAGACATCCAATGCCCCGGACACTTGCTGGTGCAATTGGCCCCACGGACTGGAATGAAGCTCGCATGCTATTGTTAATGGTTCTCCTGAGCAGGTTTGCCTTTTGCCTAATGATGTTTGTAAGGGATAATAAAGAATATAATGGAAATTAACATTTATCATTGTCAGGTCTTGTATTTTAGGTTAATATTGTGTAGTGTGTTGTGTGACTTTACATTAAGAAACATGAATGCAAATTAGGACTATGGAAGACAGGGTATCCTCATGTTGACATCCTAAGCTAATATTTTCTCTCATTGATTCATAACATTTTTTAATATGAGCTCGTTGGCTGTATAGCCTGCATGAACATGTTTTTACACAGTAGAACCAGTCCGTTTTGTTGCCGTTACTGATTTTTACATTAGGCATGATTCAGTTCCTTTGTCTGCTTCAATGCCCTTTTCTTCTACATCTTGAGCTTTCTGTTCTTCTAGCTTATTTCCAAAAAGGAAGTTATATCGAGGACATGGGGAAGGCTGGGATGTTGAGACGGGTGATCTTCCTCCATCTTGCAATGTTGTGCTCTAAAACTTTTGTGTCCATGAATTTTTTGTCCAATAGTTAGCAGGATCACTATCACAACAACATTTGCTTTTTAACTATGATGTTTTGATGCTGTCAGTAACTTTAGTCAGATTTGAATTATTTTGTTTTTTGGGACATACATACATCCAGACTGACATTTTTTATTGAAGTTTGGAGTTTTCTTAGAATTCTATGTTAAGAGATACTGTGTTGATGCAGTCTGTTGAAGGAATGAAGGTTGTTGCCATGATCTAGCACAGGCAACCAGTGGTCCCAAAGGCAGTGCTATGGATGATATTGTCAAAGATGCAGATCATCTTGTTTTCTTGCTTGGCAGATAAGGCCAGAACAGATCCAGTTTAACCTTTTTCTTTTGAATGCTCCTTCAATCAGCTCATCGCTATCATATTTAAAATTATTTTGTAAACAGTTTTTTTTTTCTTTTTGCAGATTGCCCAAGACTTTTGACTTTAGTCTGACTGGTGCCTCTTCATGATCTTGTCAATATGTCCTGAACACACTCGTGCAAGTAATTTACTATCCACTTCTTCTGTTTTTGTCGTTTTTTTCTCTTGTTGCTAATAATGAAAAGTAAAACCCAATTTAATAATTCTTATTTTTTCTGTGTTTCTGTTTCAGACATTTCAAAATAAACAGGTAGCCCATGGTGTCAAGGAGAGTACCCTCGAAGTCTTATTACTGAACTCCTGTTTGGCTTTTATGAAAGGGTTCTCCAGGATGGATGATGGCAGCCAACTTCGCAAGCTTTGAATGTTTTTGATGCTGAAGATCCTGGTGACATTGATCTCCAAAATGCATCTTTTTTAATTGCTATCTGTGTGTGAATTACATTTTT